GATTTCCATATGTATACAAGAGATCTGCTGATATTTAAACAGTTAAATTTACAAATTAATTAAATTCTTACAATGAAATATACAGTAATAGAAAAGATACAATTAATCTTATATGCAACAACACAGATGAGTCTCCTAAGTGTAACACTGATTAGAAGCTGGACACAAGAATAAACATTTTTTGATCCCTTTTACATAAAACTTAAGAGGAGGCAAAGCTAACCTTTGGTGATAAAAGTCAGAATAATAGCTACTTTGGGAAGATAATAACTGAGTAAAGACAATAGGGGGAGCCTGAGCTGTTGATAATGTTCTATATCTTATCTGAATGCTATTTACATGGGTGTGTCACCGTATAAAGATTCATTGAACTGAATGATTAAGGTTACACTGTTGGTGGGAATGCAAACTAGTACAGCCACTATGGAGAACAGTGTGGAGATTCCTTAAAAAAACTAGAAATAGAACTGCCATATGACCCAGCAATCCCACTCCTGGGCATACACACTGAGGAAACCANCAGTCCAGGTTCGATGCATGATACAGGGTGCTCGGGGCTGGTGCACTGGGATGACCCAGAGGGATGGGATGGGGAGGGAGGTGGGAAGGGGGTTCTGGATGGGGAACACATGTAAATCCATGGCTGATTCATATCAATGCATGGCAAAAACCACTACAATATTGTAAAGTAATTAGCCTCCAAGCAATATAAATAAATAAAAGAGAAAAAAATATATTGTATGCCTTACTTTATATGTGTTAAACTTCAATAAAAAGTCTACATAGTGTAAAAAAAAATGGGGGGGGGGAATCATATAACAAAGTAAATTCCAGGCCACATGGCTTCACTGGTTAATTCTTTCAAACATCTAAAAGAGAAGTAATGCCAATCTCACCTAAATTCAACAGGAAAACAAATATATGGGACATTACCAGATGGTTTTATGAGATTATCATAAGTTTAATACTGAAATATGATATAAAAAATTACAAGAAGGAAAATTACAGTCTAATCTCTCTAAAAGATATTAAGGATAGAGTAATAAAAGTGTTCTAAAATTAATGTTGCTGGTTACACAAATGTGATTTTACTAAAAATCATTGAAATCTATACTTTAAAAGGCTTTTTTAATGTGAATTGTACCTCAAATATATATAAAATGTGTTACAAAAACATATTAAACAACAAATAAAAATTATAAAATTTTATGACCAAGTTGATTTATTTCAAGAATGTAAAATTGGAATTTGAATCACTTTTTTCAAAAATTCTTAGCAATGAAAAATGTAAAATATAAAGGAACTTTTTTAATCTGAAAATGGCTATTTACAAACAGTCTACAACAAATATCAGATTAATAATGAATTATTTGATTGAATTTTTCCCTTTGAGATGAGGAACAAGACAAGGATTCCATCAGTGTGAGACATACTAGTTGTCTTACCTAGTAAAAGAGAGAAAGAAAGGAAGAGAGAGAGGAAGGAGACAGAGAGAAAGAAAAAGAATGATGGGGAAGAAGGGACAAAAGGAAGGGAAGGGAACTGTCAGGCGAGTGTATGCTCCTTGGTTCTGTCTCATCACAACAAAGATTTGGAGCGACGGACATTAGAGTCCTCGGCGCGTCACAGCTCTCGGGTCTTGAACAAACCATGTTGTAGCTCTTAGACAAATCAGTGTTACAGCTCTATTTTATTTAGAAGATAGCAGGAGAATCCATCCTCGAAGCGTGAGGGCATGCCGACCCGAAGACATGAAGAGAAGAGAGTGAAGGAGCGTGCCAGCGCGCAGGAGGGAGAGAGAGAGAGACGGGGGCAGGGGGGTGAGGAAGGGGAGGAGAGAGAAAGAGCACACGCATGTGGGAGAGAGGGGGAGAGAGAAAGAGAGAGTGCTTTGGCCCCTCCTTTTATATGTTTTTCCTCCCCCCAGCCTGCCCTATGCAAATTGGGCTAGCCAGGAGTGCCGTTTGCTCTACCCGAGGTCTTCACTCTGGCCCTCGGACCTTCCTTGGACCTTCCTTTGTTCTGTTTTTCGCGGGCTTTTCCCTTCCTTGTCTTTTAGCCACCGCCATTTTGGACTCCTGTTTCCTATTCTAACAACCTAACAGAAGAAAGAGAGAGAGAAAAGGAAGAAAGAAAGAAAGGAGGGAAGTTCCCTGACATCCAGTGGTTAGGGCTAAGTGCTTTCACTGACATGAGACCAGGTCCAATCCCTGGTTGAAGAACTAAGATCCTGGAAGCCATGTGGCATGGCAAAAAAAATTTAAAAAACAAAGAAAGAAAGGAAAGCAACAGCAAAACAGAAAGAAAGAGCAAGAAAGGAAGGGACAGAGAAAGAGAAGAAAGACGTAGGAGTAAGAGGAGGGAGGAATATAAGAAACATACAGTTATCTAGTGTTTTTCTGCAATGTCATTCAGGCCAAACTGGAGCTGGTTTTCCCAAACTTACTTTGCCTGGAAGGTTCTAGAAGCTCTGGAAGCTCTAGGGTTAGAGCTTGAGAAGTCAGCCTGAAATTCTGAGGCAGAAATGAAGCAACAGTCATTCCACTGAAGGTCATTCTTGGTCAGACGAGGCAAGGGGATAAATGAACAGAACAAATGGTCAGGTTCCCATTTGTTCTTGCTCTCCTAATTTCTACACCCAGTTCACTTCAACTGCTGTCCTGCTTACCTACAGTGATTCCATCCCACTCTCAGTTGTTTCACTGTGAGCTTACAGAAGCAATAATCAAGAAAAACAAAAAACTTTCATAGATTTCTACACCAGCCCTCTTCAAAGGTCTATCCCAGCTGTCAGATGTGCTTAGTTTGCTAAAAGCTTCAACTCCAAGACAGCTGGTTAGTGACTTCTCTAATCTTTTTAGACCAACTCTTCATGCAACTGCATAAAGTTTAATTCCATAATAAATCTCTTATTACATAATAAGGATAATAGTTCTGCTTTCATATTTCAACCAAAATTTATCCCAGAGTAACAGCAGAGTCTGGGATTGGTTCTTTGATACGATTAGATTTAAAGGAATTAAAGCTGCCCAAGAAAAAGGCACACAGGTAGTTTACGGAGTGTAGGGGGAAATCATTTCAGTCAACAACCACTGACACCTATAATCAATAGAATCAAGATTTGGGGTGACCAAGTGGCTGTTGTCCTAGAACATTTGAGGGAAGGCATATAATGGGATTGGTTGCTTCCTTCTAAGTGCATCAGAGAACTTAAGAGAAAGAAAATGGTGAGTTATAAAGCTTTCAATTACTCTCAAGGTTTGGATAGGAAAGTTTCTCTATCTACCCTAAAAGAAACACTTGTATCCTGTAGCCACAGGACCAAGATTTTTGAAAACCAAATACACTACATAATACTGGGAGTGAATTGCAACACAAATTGAATTCACAACTTCACAGAGTGTGTTACACTAAAGTTTGATCATTGATTAGAAGAAGAAGGGCTGACTGAAAATTGAGATGGAGATATATGGAAAAATTCTAATTAAACTGAACACCTTGAACCTGGAAGTTCTGTTGAGCCTCCTTTGCTAGAAGGATCAGCCATGCCTCCTTGGTCTAAGGAGAGACGCTTCCTCTTTCCTGAAGAAGTATTGCCATGGAATCAGAATGCTCAGTTAAATCTGAATTTCAGAAAAAATAATGAAAATTTTCTAAGTATAAAGTATATCCCAAATATTGCATGGCACATATTTATACTATAGAAATATCTGTTGCTTCTCTGAATTCAAATTTAACTGGGCATCTTGTATTTTTATGTACTAACTCTGGCAACCCAAATTGCAAGGACTGCTAATTTTCCTCAGAACCTACTACCTCCTTGCCCTGTTTCTAGTCCTTTAACCAGACTTGAGCACTGGTAGGACCAGGGAGAGTAGGGGAAATAACGCTTATGACTTGTGAGAAGAACAAAATACACCAAAAGAATTGAGATTCTGAATTTAATATGTTAGCTTGAACGTGGCCTAACAGAATGAAACTGAAATGCCGGGACTTTATCATTGTACTGCAGAGGAAGACATCCTGCAGCGTGGGGACTTAGGAATGCCTGAGTGGATTTATCACTTGCGTGTGTGCACTCAGTTGCTCAGTCGTGCCCGACTCTTTGCGACCCCATGGAGATCTGTCTATCTATTCCCTATCTCCATTGGTGCACATAGGTTGAAAGTGAGACCTTTTATCCAAGGCTTTGGGAAACACATTTATGTAGAAGTTTCAGCATTCTTGAGGCACTCTGTGCTGGCTATTCTCTGTAGGACAGGAATGACAGTGGGAATGGTAGCTATTAAATGAGGTTCTCTGAATGAAGATAAATGGACTTCAGGATCACAGAGGCCAAGTAGTAGCACTTAGCTACCAGAGACAATTGAAACAGAAATCAGAATGATTTTTCTGCAAAGATCTTTGAATTGGCTAATTGACCATGGAATCTCTAAAACTGAAGAAGATGTGCAGCGGTCTAAAGTGTTATTTGATTCGCATGAGCAGAGAAGATTGCGCTGTTGTTCAGTCAATAAGTCCTGTCTGAGTCTTGGTAGCCCATGGACTACAGCTTGCCAGGCTTCCCTGTTCTTTACTATTTCCTGACGTTTGCTCTAACTTATGGCCATTAAGGAAGTGATGCCATCCAACCACCTCATCTTCTGTCGCCCCCTTCTCCTCCTGCCCTCAATCTTCCCCAGCATCAGGGTCTTTTCCAATGTGTCAGCTCTTTGTATCAGGTGGTCAAAGTACTGGAGCTTTAGAGAAGATCTAAATGTAGTGAACAGAAGTCTGATTGAATCAGCACAAAAGAAAGTGGTCGTTATTTATCAAACACTTCTATGACTTGAGAACCAATGGAGAGACCTAGAGCAGCTTCAATAAATGGGAGACTGACTAGCCCTTCTTGAGGAAGTATGTGCTACACAGCCAAAATGTAAGTTTCCTCACTACCGGCGGCGGCGAGCCGTGCGCAGCGGCGTGTGCGGAGGCGTGTGCAGACCCGCGTGGGCGCAGGCAGGGACCCTGAAAATAAACAGCCGCGGCTTCGCGAGCCGTCCTCCCGCTCTGCGCCTGAGTCTCGGCCGCTGCGGGCCCCTGCGACGCGGAAGATCTGACTGCAGCCATGAGCAGCAATGAGTGCTTCGAGTGTGGACGGTCTGGCCACTGGGCCCGGGCGTGCGTGCCCCGCTGGCGGGTGCCGCGGGCCTGGGATGAGAAGCCGTGGCAGAGGTGGTTTTACCTCGGATAGAGGTTTCCAGTTTGTTTCCTCGTCTCTTCCAGACATCTGTCACCGCTGTGTTGAGTCTGGTCACCTTGCCAAGGACTGTGACCTTCAGGAGGATGCCTGCTGTGACTGCGGCCGAGGCGGCCACATCGCCAAGGACTGCAAGGAGCCCAAGCGGGAGCGGGAGCAGTGCTGCTTCAACTGCGGCAAGCCCGGCCACCTGGCCCGCGACTGCGACCACGCGGACGAGCAGAAGTGCTACTCCTGCGGCGAGTTCGGGCACATCCAGAAAGACGGCACCAAAGTGAAGTGCTCCCGGGGTGGCGAGACTGGTCACGTAGCCGTCAGCTGCAGCAAGACGAGTGAAGTCAACTGTTACCGCTGTGGCGAGTCGGGGCACCTGGCACGGGAATGCACGATCGAGGCCACAGCTGAATTACTTTCCTTTGTCGCCCCTCCTTTTCTGATTGATGGTTGTATTATTTTCTCTGAGTCCTCTTCACTGGCCAAAGGTTGGCAGATAGAGGCTACTCCCAGGCCAGTGAGCTTTACTTGCCGTGTAAAAGGAGGAAAGGGGTGGGAAAAAAATCGACTTTCTGCATTTAACTACAAAAAAAAGTTTATGTTTAGTTTGGTAGAGGTGTTAATGTATAATGCTTTGTTAAAGAACCCCCTTTCCGCGCCACTGGTGAATAGGGATTGATGAATGGGAAGAGGTGGGTCAGACCAGGAAGCCCGTTCTGGGTTTCTCGAATATGTCCCATGTAGGAGGTGAAACCAATCCTGGAAGTGTCTGTGAGCTTCCATAAATAACTTTAATTTTAGCATAATGACTGCCTTGGATTGTCTGACCTCAGTAGCTATTAAATAACATCAAGTAACATCTGTATCAGGCCCTACATAGAACATACAGTTGAGTGGGAGTAAACAAAATAAAAAGACAAGCATGCGTGTTGATGGCTGTGCGAGAACACGGGATAAAAGCCTGAGCAGGAGCAGCCTCCCCACAGCGTTGACGCTGGGTAAACAGACGGTGATGGCAATGGTGTAGAACACACGTTTTCAAAGACTAAATCTAAAACCCAGAGTAAAACATCTATGCTCAGAGTTAGCATAATTTGGAGCTATTCAGGAATTGCAGAGAAATGCATTTTCACAGAAATCAAGATGTTATTTTTGTATACTATATCACTTAGACAACTGTGTTTCATTTGTTGTAATCAGTTTTTAAAAGTCAGATGGAAAAAGCAACTGAAGTCCTAGAAAATAGAAATGTAATTTTAAACTATCCAATAAAGCTGGAGGTGGAAGGGGAAAAAAAAAAAAGTTTCCTCACTACCCTTCATCAAGGAGGCTTAAAGCCATTTGCCAGGGTTGGATATAGAAAAAGTTACAAAACTGTAGAGATGAAAATATGAAAATAGGTCTAGATATACTATTTTTATATAATAGTCATCTTAATATTACTAAGCGTTTCTTCATGATATCCTGTTATGACTGAATAAAATTCCAATGTATGGAGGTATTTCTTCTAATTATGCATGGGTATTTTATGTTTCTTAGGGAACTCTCTGTAGTCATTTTTAATAAGGCTCTTTCTTTCCAGTAGGTTATTTCCAAACCATAATTTGAACCATGCAATGCATTTAGGTTAGTTTAATGTGTTTGCCATTATAATGTATACTGCAATAAAAATTTACAATCTGCTTTACTTCCTAGGTATAAATTCTAGGGCCCCTGATGGTTCAGAGGGTAAAGAAACCATCTGCAATGCAGGAGACACAGTGGACATGGGTTCAATCCCCAAGTCAGGAAGATCCCTTGGAGGAGGAAATGGTAACACACTCCAATATTCTTGCCTGAAAAATCCCATGGACAGAGTAGCCTGGCAGACTATAGTCTAAAAGGGCTGCAAAGAATCTTATAAGAGGATGAGATAGTTATATAGATAGCATCACCAGCTAAATGGACATGAATTTTAGCAAACGCTGGAAGATAGTGAAGGAGAGGGAAGCCTAGTGGGCTGCAGTCCATGTGGTCACAAAGAGCCAGACACAGCTTAGTGACTGAACAACAACATAAATTGTATGTAGTAGGTCAAAATATAAGCTCATTTTTGAGGCTTATATTACATTATGACTTTCAATAAAGTGTGTTTAACCTTTAGTACATGAAAACAAACTGCTCCATAGCTTCATCAGCCTTGAAGAGTATAAGTTTAAAATTTTTTACTAATTTTCTATGCAGAGTGGTTATTATACTGGGATTGGCAGAACCAATATAATTTCAAGTTAATTGATGTAAAAATGAAATTTGAAGGCTTTTATGCATTTAAGTCCCTAGGTTCAGAAAGACACAATCCAGAATAAAGAAGTACTTTAAAAAACAGTTGCCAGGACCTCACATGTATTTCTGAGACCATTATAACTATATTCAGCTATCTGAATGACAGGATGGAAAAAATCAATTAAGATTTTTTTTTATAACTCCAGGGAGAAATTGAGGATCTATTGGTAAAGTAACAGACAAGAATATTTAACTCACTCTCACAAATCGGTGGGTTATTATCTCAGGTGACAGAGTTGCCAGAGATGATGAGTGCAGCAGAGGATTGACTCTATTCGGTATCTAGAGACAAAGTATAATGAATACTGTAAATAAACTTAATCTTGCTTAAACTGCAATTGTGGAAAATTCAGAAGGACAATTTTCATTTATCTAAGTACTATCACTTTCTCAAACCTTATGCCTTTATTTGGACATTAGCATAGAAAGTGTATTAAAAAGCAGAGACATTACTTTGCTGACAAAATTCTGTATAGTCAAAGCTATGGTTTTTCCAGTAGTCATGCATGAATGTGACAGCTGGGCCATAAAGAAAGCTGAATACTGAAGAACTGATGCTTTTGAACTGTGGGGTTGGAGAAGACTCTTGCAAGTCCCTTGGATTGCAAGGAGATCCAACCAGTCAATCCTAAAGGAAATCAACCCTGGTTATTCATTGGAAGAATTGATGCTGAAGCTGAAGCCCCAGTACTGATAGCTTACGGTGAATGATGTTGGATTCATGATCTCCAAAGAAGATGTAGCTTTGGGAACAGGAACCAGACTTGATCACTCAAGAGCTTTTGTGTAGCAGAGTTTTATTAAAATAAAAAAAGGCAAAGAGAAAGCTTCTGACNAGGAAGGAGGAAAAGGAGACAACAGAGGATGAGAAGGTTGGATGGCATCACCAACTCAATGGACATGAGTTTGAGTCAACTCTGGGAGTTGGTAATGGACAGGAAGGCCTGGCGTGGGGTCGCAAAGAGTCGGACATGACTGAGCGACTGAATGACAAATTTTCTTTATCAGATCTTCTAAATTAGATATCTCTTCTTTATTAGGTTAAGGCACATTTTTATATACATCTGAGATAAATAAAATTCATCAAATTAGAATTAAAGGAAATCCAAACAAGATAAAAATAGTTGAGCACTTATTTCATATTATAAATGTTAAAGGCAAAAATTCTCAATTAGTGTGCTAAAAGCTGTTCAAAGTTTGCCATGCAATTTGGAAAAATTGATGACATTTATTTGTTTCAACTGAAGTTCTCTGTAGTCATGGATTTTTGGGCTAAATTGTTCATGAAAATTGGTGGAGAGTAAGATTGGATATTACTAAAGGTTAAGAGGAATAGTGTCAAATAACAGTCAAGAGTGTCTTTGATGTAGCTGAAAATATCATCTTATGAATATATAAGAGACTATGTATGGCACAAACTTTTTTCAAGCAACAAAAGAGGTCAAATAGAGATCAAATGAAAAGAGTGACAGCTGTGGAAGTTCTTGGAGAAACCTGAAGCGCTGTTACATTGAAGTAGTGATTGCACTGTCTTTATTAATATCTTCAGGATTGTTTTCAGCTTTTTTTAATGTCTTTCGGAACATCTTCAAAAATGAACATATTCTAAATTGCTCTGCAAATTCACATAAACACAAATAGACAACAAATGGAGGAAAGGAAGGCTGCAGTCCTTCCACTATGGGTGCCTCTCCTTCTATCTGCTTGCCACAGAGGCAGAGAACCATGGAGACCCTTCTGGCTTTTGACTTCACAGAGATTATTTCTCAAAGTGGGTTTTTTTTTCTTAATTTTCTAATCATGATGTTTGGGATAAAAATAGTGAAGTTCTAACTTGAGTCCACAATTTTCCTTTTGCTACTATTGTTTAGTGTTGCATAATGAACACACATGAATCAAAATGTAACCTTGTATTCATTGGTTACAGGGACTCTCAGAGAATGTTTTCATTTATTAAATTTGTCTCCCAAAGTACATTAAACAACTGAGTAAATAATAGCCAGATTTCTTCCCTTTAATGATGTTGAGAAAGAAAGATAAAACCCATTCCTCTTTTTAAAAGAGGAATCCAGAATTTTTATATCCATTTCAACAGTCTGAAGCCTTTACATCCATCCTAGGCCTTCTTGGCTTGCCTGGAGAAGAGGGAGTTGTAGGGTCATATCAGCTAAGCCACAGTTCAGGAAAAGTCATGACAAATTCAATGTCAAATTCAATGTCAGAAGCCACCAGCAGTCTGTAAGTAAATGTATCTAGATATTTGATAATCTTCTACATACAGCCAGGAGTGGAACAGAGAGAACCTTTGTTATTTGTGTCATTTCCTTTTTTTATTATTTTTAAATCTATGCATACATGAACCAGATAGATGAGTTAGGAAAAAAATAAGAAAAAAAAATCTGTGAATTATTTAGGTTAGGACATTGAAATATTTGGTAAGAAGACCCTCTCTTTAGCAACTTAATATTAACTTCAAAAGAAAAGCTTTTTATTTTGAGATAATCATATATTCATATGCAGTTGTAGGAAATAATACCGAGAGATCCCAGGTACCCTCTACTCACTTTTCCCCATTGGTAACATCTTGCAACACTATGGTATTATGTTAAAACCTGGATATTGACATAGATATGATCCATTAATTTTATCATAGTTTTTGTTTTATTTGTATTAATTTTTTTCCATTTATTTTTATTAGTTGGAGGCTAATTACTTTACAATATTGTAGTGGTTTTTGCCATACATTGACATGAATCAGCCATGGATTTACATGTGTTCCCCATCCCGATCCCCCC